CATGATTATAAAAATTTACAATACTAACAATTGTACTAATACAATTATAAAAATTTTGCAAACATCAAAAGCAAACATTTCAACTGCGTTTGTATATTTAATTGTATATTTAATTGTTATCATTGTCCATCATTACTCGTAGTGAAGTAAAATAGGAGAGTATAGTTGAAAGATACTGTAACATAATAACAAATATTTTTTTATGTTAATGAATTAATAAATTTTTTACAATACATAAAAGATAATATCTATACATATGAAAAAATATTACATAAAAGATAATATTTATATGTATAAATATTATTAATGCTTGAAATAATAATTAAAAATTAAAAAAAATTTTTAAGCTGTCACTTTGTATACAGGGTGTTTGGAAATTAATGATAAATTTTTTGTATAGGAACTAATCTGAGAAGAAAAATCCCCCCATTTTACAATAATAGTTAATGAGTTATTCACTTATAAAAGTAACCAAATTCGTCCAGCTCACTACCAAATTGCAAGCGCGCGACAGAACTGCCTAGATTTCCTAGAATAGAATCAGAGTTTGGCCAACGCACATACATTCATATCTCCAATTGAAAGCAAACACATATTTTGGACACGCACACCATTTTTAAGGCATGGTCAGACTTTGGTTTTCTAGGAACTCTAGGCCTGCCCAGCGCGGGGCGGATCTATCCTGTCGCATGCTTGCATTTGGCGGTGGGCTAGCGAATTTGGCTATTTTCATAAGTTAATAACTCGTTAACCATTGCGATAATTGTAAGATGATAGAGGACTTTTCTTCTCAGTTTAGTCCATTCTGCCCTGCGAAAGATTTATCATTAATTTCCAAACACTCTGTATATTAATGTTGTATAAAGATATATAGAATAATTAATATCCTAAGCAACAATTCGACATCATATGGATATATAAATCATATTCCGTCTTTCGTATGTATGTCATCCAAAGACATTTAGACGTAATAGACATAATAGTCGTTAATATCGTTCAATCCCGAATGGCACAGATAATTCGAAAATTATTCATCTTTTCTGATCTATAAGTTATTGGAAACAAAGAGAAGGATAATTATTGGGCTGCAAGATAAAAGTATATAAATTAATATTGTTTGATAGTTGTTAGTCTTCGGATCTTTCTGACATTTGTTTGCGCACTACTTGAAGATTGAACATATTAGCAACATATCTTGAACATTCCTAAAATATCTATGTAAATAACTTCCTTATCTTGGGATTATTTTAGGCATTTAACATATAGCGACATAAACGGAACTTTTCAGAACATATTTCGAACGTTCAAAGATATCCAAGGACGTCGAATTGTTGCTTGGGATAAATAATTAAAATATGTGAGTAAATTTTATTTTTTTTTAATTATTTAATTTTAATTATTTTTTTTAAACCAATTTTTAACTTGATCTTACCGATGTAAAGTAATTAAGGGATAATATGGGCAGAAAGCAAGGCATTGAAACTGTTACTGGTTTTTGACTTCTCATTATAATAATTTGTAGACATTTCCACATTTTAATTAAATGATTGTTTTCGAGCATATGAAATGTTGTTTCTGCGACATATTTGCTCTAGATAATAAACACATAAAAGTAATAAACATATTTTGTATAATAAAATGAATTATAATATAACAGATTTAAATAATTAGTTATTTACCATATACATTAAATGTTCTGCTGGCCAAGTATACATAAATACTTCTGATATACCTATTATACCCATTCCAAAAAACTGGAATATTAGCAATATAGGTTGATGCTATTTAAAAAATGATGTACGTGTTATTTCCACATATTGATGCTTTTACCAAAATTTTTTTTTTTTGCGTAAATTCATGAAGGATATAATGGAGGATATGATTGCTTATATATGTAATATCTAGATTATTTCTTAATATATATGATGATTTTTTAGAGTCGGAAAATTATCGTATTGTTAAGTATTGTGTAGTTGTTATGTAGTAAAGGATTATATATTGATAAGCAATTTTTAGCAATTAATATCTTATTAACCATTGCAAAAATTGCAAAATGGTAGAGGACTTTTCATCTTAGTTTAATCTATTCTGCCTCTATACAAAAGATTTATCATTATTTTTCAAACATATATGTATATACTGTAACATTCTTTTATATATATATATATA